AAAATAAATTCATGGTGTGAAAATAATAGATTACCTTTAAATATATCAAAATGTAACGCGATGACTTTTACGAGGAGAAATAACTCGATAAAATTCTCCTACAAAATAGGCAACGAAATAGTTGCGAGTTGCATTCAATTCAAGGATCTCGGAGTCATCTTTGACTCAAAACTAACCTTTACTGCCCACATAGATCACATAACTGCTAATGCCTACAGAAATCTAGGCTTTATCATGCGAAATTCAAGGCATTTTAAAGATATTTCCACACTTTCTCTCCTGTTCAATGCTTTTGTACGGCCAAAACTGGAATACGGTGGTATTGTCTGGAACCCACATTACAATATTCATAACCTTAATTTGGAACGGGATCAGAGAAGACACGTTAAACATCTTTCATTTAAAGCTGACGGAATATATCCTTCCAGAGGCACGCCACAATCTGACTTACTAGCCAAATTTAATCTAAATGACTTAGCAATACGTAGGATCTACTTTTCTGTGTTGTTCCTACACAGACTATTAACAAGTCAGACTGACTGCCCGGATATTCTTAGTTCCATACAATTCAAAGTTCCATATTCTCAAACTCGCTCACACGACATCTTCTACTTAGCTACACCAAGAACAAATGTGCTAAAATCGTCGCCTATTCACAATATGTGCTCAAATTACTTAAGCTATCAGTCGAACCTTGATATTTTTAATTGTAGTGTTAATAGTATAAAGCAATGTATTTTGAATAAAGTAAACCTCTAGTTCATACCAAACCATTGTTTAATCTATCTTCTCATAAATTATTGCACTCTCTTTTTAGTTTAATAGTAATTATTTATCTGTAAAACATTTAGTATTAAGTCTTGTACTCTGTACTGTGCACATATTTCTTTGTATATTTCCTGCCCTGTAATTGGATGCATATCTGTCTGGGCAGCTGTATTCATAAAATAAATAAAATAAAATAAAATAAAATAAAATAAATAATCATCCATATTGAACATTTTTCAGCTGAAATATCATAATACTATTAATTAATAATAATAACAGCCACATCTTTCTAGTTTATTTCTATTTTATTACAAATTATTATTATTATTTCAAAATTTACTTTTTGTTACTATCTGTGATTGATGAGATCCGAATTCGGTCTAGATCTGCTCAAAATTTGAAACAAATGCCAAACATTTTCTGAAAAAGCTTTTTTATAGGTCTCAGTATCATCTAAAAAAATTGTTGAGAAATAATTATTATGAATAAAGATATTTATAATAATTCATAATAAAGAAATAACAAAAAAAAAGATTTCCATTTCTTTTCGCATATCTCATTAAATCTTGAGAACCGCGTTAAAAGTTCTTGCCTATCAGATTAAATTGCTGAATTTAATTCCCTGTTGCAGTATGGGATTTGTAAAGAACTTGGTCCTTGTATTGGATCTTAGATGCATTTTGTCCTTAGATTTGTCAAGTTTTTTTGTAGGAATATAGGGTTGTAGTACCTGTGGTGGTAAGTTACAAAATAATAATAATACCTCTTGTTCTCAAAAATTCGTGAACTTGTCGTTACAGCGACCACCCAGAAAACTTTTATTAACAATGCTGGAAATGAAATTATTATTTAAATAATTGTGCAAATATAATACAAAGCCAAATAAACGAAGTGTTGTTATTAGATACCTCATATTTCTCCACGTACATACATCTTATTTATGTTTATATGTGGGTAAGTTTAAATCAGTCAAAACATTTTCCTATTTCTGTGCGAAAGTATAAAACTACAAAATTTATGACCCTTACATTCACATGCACGCATAAAATGACACGACACATTAAATATTTATGGGATATTTAATACTTCCTGAGTGTCACTTTTTGTGTTAGTATTTTGGGTGGCAAAGGACTGAAAGCACGTTTCTCATGAAAGTGAATTTCTTTGAAGTTTAAAATGGGGTGAAATTGTGTTTCATATTATAAGCTCTTTCTGATAATTCATGTTATTTGTTATTTTATACTAATTTACTATACAGGGGCCGGCAAGAAGAATTGAGTGAATTCAATTTATATTGTTAAAAAGATAAACACACGAATTTTTAAAAATATGTATTTTTCATGCACCTGAAATTTGTAATTTTAGTAAAATCCAGTGTGTACCATTTTAAACATTTTTTTCTAAATACGGTTTAAATAAATAGAAAATAAAAATAGTTCTATGCTGAGAAGTAAAACTGAACGAAAATCAGATTTATGTACTTATAGATACTTATACAGAATGTTTCATAGCGGTCATAATTACAGTAATAATAAATAATATTTAATACAGTTTTTTGGGAATATAATTAATTTTGTTCTAACGTTTCAGTTTATTACACCATTAATTACACGCAGTTGCGTTAAAACAGGAATTAAATAACACGAAAACTTTCAAATTTAAAATAAACACCTAATATATAATAGTTTCTCTGATGATGGTGTAATAAACTGAAACGTTATAAAAAATAGTTGTTTGACGAAATTCCTTAAAACTAATAAAATACTATTTGATATTAACAGTCAAGATAAGGAAAAAAAAAACATGAAAATACATAAGATGCGTTAAAAAAATTGGGGGTGATACTAAAATGGCGGCTGTACTGGGGAAGGCATTCTGACAGAAATTTTGTACTCATATTAATTTTTTTTTGTCGCTTTTCATCATAAATACTAACAATTACTATAATTATAAAGTGTATAAAACATTATGCGGTACCATTTATAAAGGTTGTAAAATTCATTTTCTAAAAAGGATATGTCGTAAATATCCTCAACTCTATAATAATTTTCTAACCAATTAAATAAATGCTCGTTAACAACAGCACGAGCATATAGTAAAATAGAATAACTTTTCTTTTCAAATGTTTAAGATTTCCAGGTTTACATAGACTTTACTTTTGTGAACAACTCCATGGAAAGAAACTGAGAGCAATAAATCAGGTGATGCTACAATAGACGAAGAACTTTGAAAACGCTCTGTCCTCGTAAGACTTAACCCTAGTCCAGGAGTGCGAGGACACAATTGAAGAGTTTGCCAGGCAGAAAGATATAAGATTTGTCGATTCCAGGGTCTACAAGGGTTTCTTGGAACGAGACAGCAAATAAATTGGCTAAACTTGTAGGTAATCGATTAGCTCTGTCTCGGACGTGACCCTATTTTGGTATTAAAGAAGGCAAATCTCAATAAGTAGGCTTAGGTGACTTAAAGGAATATTGGAGGTTACGATACTACAGACACGAGTCTTTGTAGCAGAGTAGACAAATTACAGGCGGCCTGGCTAATTGGTTGGAGTTGGAAGACTTTGAATGAATTAATCTGATAGGCTACAGCAACTTAGGAGACACCTATTACTGATGGGTTTTGAAGAAGTTTCTACCTAACCAAGATGCGGGAGTAACGAGGGAACGTCCTATGATTTCTTGTTGCAGCGTGAGGCGTTTGAGCGACTGAGACAAGAATTGTTAGGCTATGAGGCACTACTCAGAGAGGAGATGAATTCCCTCTTGTGGAACAAGATCCTAACTTTCATCAAATGATCCAGGAGGTTTAAAAAGGGAGCAAGTAAAGTAAATGATTTAAGGGATTTGTAGCCTATTTTCCAGGTACCAGTTCCCCCCAACCACCATTACTACTACTAACAATAAGTCGGGTGATCTTGGGGACCAATTCATGATACCATTGTGCACAAAAATCTACTGCAAACTTTCAATGCTAAACTTTTCAGTATGTTCAGTTACACTATCCTGTTGTTACATTTTTCTTGGTTTCATGGGAAAAAATTATCGAAAAATAATATTCTGTGTATGTCTATGTCGGTTCTTAGTTTACGTAAATACCCTTTCCATCATTTAAAAAAATCTGACAAAATAATACAAAATAATTTTTAATATTGCTGTGTGTCTTTATATTCTCTAGAAGCTACTTTCTTATATTCCTGGTAAAGGTGTTTTAAAATGTCAATAACTCCATAATGGCATCAGAGTGTGCTATGATTAGCAATTTTTAGAATACTATATATCAAACATAAATGGTATGTTAATTTGTTGTTATGTATTTAACGTTGTAATAATTGTCATTCTTCTCTCAAGTTATTACATACTTAATTTATTACTTTTGTGTATGAAGGTATGTACTAAAATACTTTATTAATTATTCAATTGATATGTACTAAATAAATTTGGATGAATCGTATAAAGATAAATTTTATAAATTCTCGGAAATACTTTTCAAAAATTGATTTCAGCACATTTAAAACTAAAAAATTTTTTTTCAAATTTTTAACAACCTTTGCATTTTAGACTCTGGAGAAAATTTTGAGGGAATATTCATTTATTTGTCTGCTGTCATATCATCGTTGATAATTCATTGTCCATTCAATTTACACATATTTTTCACTAATCAAGGGATGAAAACCGTGGACAAGAGAGAATGAACCCAATTTTAGATGAAAATACATTTTTTTATGATTACCGAGCTTGTTAGCGCAGTGAGCTAGAACTTTAAGTGATGAACATAGATTTTACTGCCTGCCGACTCTCGGGTTTAAACCCCGACTTCGACCCTGACAAAGTCGAAGGGAGTGATTGTGTGCTCGCGTTTTTTTCAACATTGTAATCCCGCCCCTGCAGCTCCAGCTTTGGACTTGGGAGTTATTTAATTTATGTGGTGTGTTTTCATAATACAAATTTTTAAAACAAATTGAGCCACAACACTTTTGGCTACTGATTTGAAATTTTTTAAAATTTTTGTCGTGCAATTTAGAAATGAGCTTAGTTTATGATTTTGAGCACATTTCCGTTTCTGTGCATTTATATTCACGTCCTGAAGACATATACAAAAACGACTTCCTGCGGCATTTGCCAGATGCAGCAAATGAGACTCAAACTCAGGAGAAATAGACAGTGGTTGTCTATATTCTGTTACACAATAATGCTCTAGCCAACGGTGCTATCGTTTTGGTATTTTAAAGACGCCACTAGCCAGGATTCGAACCCGGCACCCCTTGATCACAAGTCTAACTTATAAGCACTAAGCCATTGAGCCAACAAAGGTTGGTTCCCTTTGGAATGAGAATAAGAACAGATCGAAATATTTGACCATATGGTTTTATTTGTTTGACCCTTTGACCGCAATAATAAAAATGTCCTATTTTAGAAAAATCAGTAATTAAAATTACTTTCCTTTTGTTGCGCCCATCATTGAAACAATTGTATCTATATACATGCTGAGGGGTAAAAACAAAAATCAGATTTCTTCACCTTGCAATTATGTCTGATTTGCATAATGAAGTAACACATTTTTCGATACACACATTTGTCAAAATTACCTAATGAATTGCAGTACCATACCTACAAATTGGTATTCGACAAATAATGGTAATAAAATAAACTTGAAATTAAACTTACTAATGCACCTAGCATAAATAAATGTATACCCAGAATGAACACGCCTCTAGATTACGAAATACAGTTTAGCATGACTGAAGTGAAATTGCTACACCTTCATAAACATCATATGAATGCACTAAACATTAAATCAGAATAATCAGAATAGGATGCTTTTTGACAATATAAGACAAGAAAATAATAATATAATTTCCTGACGTTTTGGCAACGAAATCTGTTTCCCTTTTCAATGTTATTTATTTAGCTTTTTTCTAAATATATAAAGCGTGAAAGTTGACACATATAGTATTTCTTTATATAATATCCATGCTATATACACCTACTTATGGTTATATCTATATAAGTTTTTATAAAAGAAATTATATTATCACTTATCCAACTTGTGCATTTTTAACTTTTTTTGTCAGCAAAATTTAAGTTTTTATTAAGTATATTTCATTGGAAAATAAATAATTTCAATTTATATCTAGTGCTAAATAGTGATCTTGTAATCTACAGTGTTTGATATTCTCTAATTGTTTTTATTTTATGAATAACTGGTTCACCTTTTTGGTGTTCCAGAAATGGGACATTAATCAGAATCCTAAGAGGTTGTATATAATAATAATATTTATTTGCCCAACAGAAAATCCACTTACAGGACAAAATGTATGAAATACAATAAGAAAAAAAAATTATATTATAAGGATACATAGCAGACTTAACTTAAATAGAGTAATACATATAACTATAATAATATAGCACTGGAGGGTAACAATAATATAATAATGACAGCAGCTTAGATCGAGTTATAATAATAATTAGTATTCAATAGAGTAGGTAACATAACAATAATGGTGGGATAGTTAAGCTGTGGATGAAAGTGTCTATGAATGGTTTCTTTTAAGGATAGAACTGTACAGAATTAATATCACACAGATCAGATATACAGTTAAAATTATGTGACATAACGTAAATAGGCGACTTTTTAATGACATTGGTTCCTGTAAAAAGTGATATTGTGTCTGGAATTGAAAGTTGGCACTCTAAAATGAAGGAGTTCAAGAAGTGGTGAGCAGTCAATTTTATTATGAAGCAGATAGTGGAGAAAAATTAAACTGTTCATAATTCGTCGAATCTTTAATGATGACATCTCGAATCTGGATAAAAGTAATTCGTGGTTGAAGCATCGATCAGGATATACACGATAATTTTTATAAGCTAAGAATTTTAAAAATTTTCTTTGGATAGATTCGAGATATGTTGAATGGTTCTCATAAATTGGGTACCAAATTAGAGATCCATACTCCAATTTGGAACGTACAAGTGAATAATAAAGAACATTCAACGCCGTGGCGCGCCGTTAGTGAAAGATTTACAATTTCTGATAATGAAACCTAAAGTTTTTGAGGATGATAGTCCTAGATTCTTTATATGTTCGGCAAAAGATAATTTATTATCAAACAGTATGCCTAAATCTTTTGTTGATTTTGCCTATCTAACACTTGGTCGTTTAGAGAATACTCATATAAAATTGGCTTGTTCTTTCGCGAGTCGCTTACGACTTTACACTTAGATACATTTAGATTAAGTTTGGAAGTAGTACACCATTCTATAAGCAAGTTAACCTGAGATTGTAAGAATAAACAATCCTGTATTGTGTTAATCTTAGCATGGGAAAGAAGAAGAGTTTGGTTATGTTTCAGTTCATTAGTATATTTATGTTTGTTGTGTAGTAACCAGTGAATTTTTTGTATTAATGAAATATCTAAAAAGCAGTTTCATAGTGTTGAAGACAGGACACTTGTCTGAAAACGGTGATGGGACACTACAAGTACCCTTGAAATGTTTGTATCATTTTGAATCATTATGTAGAAAGTAATGATGATGATGATGTGTGGTTATATCTGTATTAAAGCGGAAATTACATGTAGCAAAATCTTCAGAGAAAATTATTAAATGTCGAGAGGATCTCGAATTTAGTACTTCAAGATATAAAATTAAATAGTCTTAAAATCCAAAAAGTTACAAAAATAAGTTACGTAATGAGAAGTATGTTACTATTGACAAAAAAATCGAACCGTTTATTATCTCTCAAATATCCTTCAGAAAATAGGTATGAAAAAAACGTATCCGTATTATATGATAAAACTGCAGTTGAAATTTTCGAGGAATTTTTTAGTCAAAATCTTGCTAATAGAGTAAAGTGAATTATGTGCGAGGCAAAAAAATTAATAAAAATTGTCTCTTGCCTAAGATAATTTCAATTGGAATATTATTATTTAGTGGATACCATAAACTTCCACAAGAAGATATGTACTGAGCGCAACTCTAGATGTTAGAATACCTTTGGTATATAATTCTATACCTAGAAAACATTTTAGAGACATCAAAAAGTATTTACATCTGGATGATGACACAAAAGAAACTAAAATTTTCGTAATAGTTACAAATTGTATGAAGAGATTTTTTTTTTTAAATAACGGCAGTTGTCAAAAAACTCAAATAGTTAATAAAATATATTGCATTGTGTAAATTACCCGGTCTGTTGTTGTACATTACTGATCAATAAATAAATGTTTCAAACAGTTTATGGTGTTACACTTTTGAAAGAAAAAAGCAATTGTATTCCTTCATGCAAGTTATTCCACGTCAATGCTTCAAATATCTAAAATATATTCAGAAAAAAACATCACAAAACTTTATATTGTACTTTATGATCCCCTTCTGAGTTCAATAAAACCCATTTTTTATATTTCACGGAAGCAGGCTAGCCTACATCTCCTCTCAAATTCATTTTTATTCTCATATGAAAATCTTGTTCATCATATCGATCACGGCGCATTACCTCTCTCGTAGCATTTCCTTTTTATCCTCCTTCTTGGTAGCGGAAAGTCTGACGGCAATGGTTGCCAACGTAGGGCAGTCGATATCACTATTGCACACATGTGGATCGTTGAACCGTGAGTAGATTTATCTGCGAGGTATCCCATCAGTGGCAGGAATCGGGGATTTAATAACTTTTAATTATATTTCTTAATGAACTTTCTTATAATTTTGAGATAAATAAATGTATTGAACGTTATTAAAATTTCAATTGAATATCATCTTTCTTGAATCAGAAATTATTATTCGAGTTATCACAGGCAAAAAACATATATAATGAGAAATATAGAAATAATTACTCCTAACATAAATTTAACATACATAGATAGTTCTATTCCGTACTAAAATTTATCTCTATAAATTCTGAACCCCAAAATGTTTATATCGATGTGAGCAACGCCTGTTTAAGATTTTGTTAATTTAGAAATATGTTACAGTAGAGCATTTGTAGCATTTGCTATGTCAAAATTGATAATATCGTGAACAGGTGTTGTTCATGTCGATTTAAAAATTTCTGATGCAGAATTTAGAGCGATAAATATTTACATAAGGATGGACTATCTATGTATGTATATTTAATCAATGCTCCTAAGAAAGTTTATGTTTTGTAAATAAACCTCTGTCAGATAAAGTCGTTTCGTTTTTGCCTGTCCTGTCTTTCCTCATTTCAGGAAATAAGAAAAGTATATTAGGACCACCACACTGCCAAAATTAATGCGTTATTGAAAATATGACACATATTTTAATACTCAGTGATATAAAACTATATAATATAAAACCCATAACGGTTGTACGAGAGCCCTACTATACAAGATGTATATTTTTCTGTGACTTGATTAATGCCAAGGTGTCAAAGTCAAATTGCATAACCAGTTGTAGTCATTTAGGAGTTACGAATTTTTCCTTCAAACGTTACTTTTGTTGAACACTTCCGAAGCCTTTCCAATCAGACAGGATGAAATTCGAACTTTGCTTCAATATCAAAATGCTTTGGTTATTGGCAGATTTTTACTGTTTTACATTGCAATTGTCAAAAAATATGTATTTATGTAACAAGACCGGAAAGGATTAAGCTATCTCGCTATAGCTGAGGGAAGTCATACAACAATATCTTGTGTGGTCCAATGTTTTAAAGTAACAAGTGACCATAATGGACACAAAGTAGACCACGAGTTACAAATGAAGTTATAACTCGTGATGTTTCTTGTCAGGATCATTTTATCAGGGTGCGGATTTTAAGAAAGCGACTTTCGAAGTTGTAAATATTCATATTCAAGTTCTAATAGCTCATAATGTGCATGTAACCACATATACTGTCTTAAGAGTGTTTGTAGAATACGAATTATACACGGAATACCTGCAACATCATCTTCTCTAACCAGGAATCACTATAGGGAACAAGCCAATTGGAAATTGAATGATTGGGAATATATTTTGTTTTTAAATAAGTCGAGGTTTTGTCTATATAACTCCGGTCGCCATCCACGGGTATTCCGACGCGCAAGTAAACGTAGCTCAATATAATTTTTGTTAAATAACATTGCTTGATGAAGGTTCACTGATATTCTTCGAAGGAATTTATTTAACAGCGCGTAGAGATCTCTGTTTAGTAAATGGAGGTTCTTTCTTCAGCAGTGCTGCTTCTTCCTGTATGGTGATAATTTCAGTGAGATCACCGATTTGTTCAATTACATTGGATTAGTCATCGTGCTGAAATATTAAATTTGTTTTTTTTATCCTGCTTAGTTTATTTGGATACAATAATCTTCTTGTCCTCATTAT